GAGAGAGAGAGAGAGAGAGAGAGAGAGAGAGAGAGAGAGAGAGAGAGAGAGAGATGAGCGATACAAGTTTGGTTGTCACATAACTGTGAAGCGAGCTGTGCAGTCCCACGTGGAGGAGGAAGAAGCAGCCATAGTTGTGGAGTGTCACCACGAAGTAACGAAGGAGGGAGAGAGACGACAGAGTGGGAGAGACCGAGAAGGGAGAGGAAGAGGCCATAGCCGAGAGGAGAAGAGAGGGCCGATCAAAAAAAAAAAAAAAAAAAAGAAGAAGAAGAAGACATCCGGGGTGAAAGGAGGCGAGGAAGGTGAAAGGAAGAAGAGGGTTGGCGAGGAAGAGGAGCCGACAGCCATAGGTGACCGGAGGGTTGACCGGAGGTGTTGATCGGCGGTTACTGGAGTTGATCGGGGGCGGATAGCAGCGTTGACCGGCGTTGACCAAGACCGTTGACCACGAGTTGACCAAGCTGGAGTCGGTAACATCTCGCCAAGCCTTCAACCTGTCCCTCGCCCTATGAATGTGCACACACCCCTTTGTACTTGCTGAGTCCAGTCTGTCTGTCTATTCTTTCTGCATTGAGTCTCTTCTGTTCTAGGTGATAGTACTCTGTGGATGAAGGATAGGGTCTTGTTGACCAAACCCACACAGGATGAGTAGGGCTAAAAGTTGTGTCTGACGACTCGACTGTCCCGGAGGTCAAACCCTCCCAAGGACCGGTACTGACCGACGGGCTGCTCGGTGTGGCACGGTCCGAAATCCGAGCTGTGGGCTGCACAACAGACCGTCTAAGTCTTGAGAGACCTGCTGATCGCGTCGTCCTGTCCACGACGTTAAATAATTCCTGAGGAGTTAAGGGGATCTCCTTAAATGCCTCCTGATCAGCAACAGGTCTAGTAGTGACAGCCATAGTTAGGTCTAGGCTAGAGATCCTAGTTGACAGGATCCCTGTCAGGATTCTGTGAGTCCTTAGATCGAGTTAGTAGGTCTTTTTGTCAGGGGTTAGAGTCTACGTGGTGAGGTTTGGAACCACTAATCCGGTTGTACACTTATCACCATAATGGAATTGCGTGGTGGGAAGACCATTAGCTCCTATACCCCTGAGCAGCAAGAAAAGATGGCCGCCCTAGTGAGAGAAAATAAAGAGAGGAAGGAGCTCGAGAAGCAGGCGAAGCTGAAGGCTATCGCAAAAGAGCAGGCAGATAAGATGAAGAGGTTGGAGCAGGAGATGAAGAGAGTTCAATAGGAGGAGGAAGAGAGGTGAAAGGCTGCCAAAGAAGAAGCAGCAGCAAAATAAGAGAAAGAGAGGATGCGTATTGAGAGTAGAGAAGGGAGTAGTGACACAAAGAGGGATACAGACGCAGAAATGGAGAAGAGGATAAGTGAGTGGGTCGTTAATTTATCGTTGGGAGAAGACGAGGAGGTGGAGTCTTATGTGACTCAGGATGAGAGGGATGCGCTAGCCAGTGAGCTAGCAGCAATGGAGGACCCTATGGAACGGCGAGAAAGGGAGGAGGAGCAGAAGTTGGCATGGAAATTGAGGATGAAGAGGGAGAAGAAGAGGAGGAGAGAGGAAGTTAACAAACTGACCGCAGAGGTGGCGAAGGTGCAAGACTGTAGGAAAGAAGTGGAGGCTCAGGCAGACGACAAGGCCAAGTGGGATAAAGTATTCGGGTACCTGGAGGTGCTGAGTACAACATGGATGGAGGAGCGCCAAGCCAGTTGGAGCCAGGAGGTAGCCTTGAGTGCCATGCGGTCGGGATTTAGAGATTTTGTGCGCGATATTGTCACCCACCTTGGGGGCGAAGTCAGGCAAATAAGGGATAATGTAGGGAAGTTCTACGAAGGCGCCATTGAAGGTGCCAAAGCGATAGCCGCCGTAGAGGGCGAGGCCAGGCCTCCCAAGGACCCAGTCAAGCTTCAATTTCCAGACGTATATGGAGGGAAGAAGGAGGAGAACTTTGACAACTTGGAGGCCAGTGTCAATAGTTACGTGTATCTACAACACATCCTGACAGATGAACAAGTCCTCGTGGCCTTCCAAGCCCTGAAGGAGGAGGCGACTAGTTTTACCAGGTCCCTTACGCGCGCAGCCGGTTGTGAAAACAACCTGGTTGCATACTCAAAGGTCACTTCCCTTCCTCAGTTCTTTAAGCTCCTGAGGGAGCGATTCGCTGATCCAACGAGAGGCGTCAGGGCCTCTGATAAGTTACAAACGATCCACTCGCGACAATGGAGGAGTGCGTGAGCACTCAAGGGCGTTATGGACGACCTGGTGGCCGTCCCAGACCACGGGGTTACTGAGCCCCAATTGGTCCAGTTATTCTATCATGCCATGCTAGAGCCCCTGAGGGGGCACTTCTTTGACTAGTCTCAATAGGTCGGAATCACATACGATGTATTGAGTAGAGAAGTGGTCCTGTTTGAGTCCAAGTCCATGCCAGTTTCCACTTTCTGGCATAAGGACCTAGAAAAAGGAAAAAGGTGGAAAGGACGTACCATCTCTGGCCAAGTCAAGGCCAAGGATCACATGATCCTGACGTTAGAGGAAGGTGGTACCGATGAGGTCCCATATAGTCAGATTGAGTGGGGCCTTGAGGAGGAGGTCAGTAGTATGGGACAGGGGAGGTCCTATGCTGCTGTCGCGGTTGGAGGGAGGCCGCAAGGTAGAGGACGAGGCCAGGGCCAAAGGGGCCAGGCCATGGGAGGCCGAGGACCGGGCGCACAGGGGGTTGGCGGACAAGGGAACCGCCAAGTGGGAGGTAGGGGTCAAGGTCCCCCGCCAAATCGTCAAGGTTCTAATCGGTCCCCACAGCGACGAGGTGGAAGGGCACCTCAAAGAGGATGGCACCCAAGCTTGCCACAGGGCAGGCCCTGGGGGCTTGGACCAGCGTTTATGGCAGGAACGCGTGGACCTGGGTCAGTGCGTATTCTGTGGTGACCCGACCAACGTTATCAAATATTGTCCTAAGTATAGACAGGCCCATTGGGCTGCTCAGCAGTCAAACGGTAGCCGCCAGTAGGGGTCGCAACTGCCCCTACTTCAAGGCCATGTGGAGAAGTGAGCGCGCGCGAACAGGACACTCCCAACCCACATGAGCCTTTGGCAAAGGTTGCAGGCCCGTGCGTAGCTAACTGTCCAGGGACAGCTTGTGTTAGCGTCTCTCTAGGCACGTCCCTCACAGGTGTGGCAAAAGAGCTAAAGGAAAGGATGCCAGCCTGGGCCAAAATGAAGAAGGAGAGTAAGGGACAACTGATCTTAGTGGACGTAGAGGTGTTTAGAAGCAGAGTAGGAACCCTTATAGACTCAGGGGCTACCCGTAGTTATATTAGCCGCAGAGCGTTGAAAAAGTTAAGACTAGGATTAAAAGTCCAACAATTAGCAGACCCCATAGTCAGTGTCCTCGCAGACAACTGCACAATGCGAGCTGAGGACTACGTAGAGGGAGTCCAGGCGTACTTTCGCCTAGAGAAGGATGGGAAGGTGGAGAAAGTTCTCCATTCCCTGACTCTCCCCGTTCAGGATGACCTTCCTTTCGACATGGTGTTAGGAATGGATTGGGGAGAGGCAGCAGGGGCCACACTCCATTTGAGAGAGCATGAGTGTAGGCTCCCTAGCCCGTCAGGCGAGGTGACGACTGCTCGCTTGTTTCATGTGTCAGGTGTAGACAACACCTTGGCACACTGCTGTCTCAGTGCGCGCGATTGGTGAAGAAGGAGCAGTTAGAGAACCAGGTCTTTGTAGTTTATGTTAGACCTGCCATTGATGCCAAGAAAGAAGATAGTTCCACATATCCAACCATAGCCAAGTTGCTGGAGGAGTTCAAAGACTTGACTGAGTCGCCGACAGGGGTAGTGCCGCGACCTATCCAGCACAGGATAGAAATAGAGTCTGGCAGTATAACTCCTAAGGGCGCAGTCTACCGGATGTCCCCTAGAGAGTTTGAGGAGTTTCTGAAACAATTAGACGAGCTCCTAAAGAAAGGTTGGATCAGGCCCAATTCGTCTCCATTTGGATCACCAGTCCTGTTTGTCCCCAAGAAGGAAGGAGAGCTTCATATGTGTATAGACTATAAGGGTTTGAATGCTATCACAGTGAAAAATGTTGAGCCGCTGCCCAGGATAGACGATCTCCTAGATCGGGTGCAGGGTTGCAAGTACTTCTCTAAGATAGACCTGAAGTCCGGATACCATCAGATAGAGGTTCATCCTGATGACCAGTATAAGATTGCGTTCCGGACTAGGTATGGGCACTATGAGTTTATAGTGATGCCCTTTGGACTAACCAATGCGCCAGCTACTTTTCAGCGTTGTATGAATGATTTTTTTAGACCCTGGTTAGACAAGTTTGTAGTAGTTTATTTAGATGACATTTTAGTTTTCAGCAAGACCCTCCAAGAACATCAGGGTCATCTCAGGTCTTGGAGAAACTTAGAGAGGCTAACTTCAAGATCAATGCGAAGAAGTGCGAGTGGGCCAAGACACAAGTCCTGTACTTGGGCCATGTACTAGACGGAGATGGCATTAAGCCAGAGGACAATAAGATAGCGGCGATTAGAGATTGGCCGACGCCCCGCACATTGACAGAGTTGCGGTCGTTCCTAGGCTTAGCTAACTACTATAGGAAGTTCGTAAGGAACTTCTCTACTATCGCCGCTCCCTTGCGCAGGTTTCTAAAGAAAGAGGCAATCTGGCAATGGGACAAAGACTGTACGTCTGCGCTCAAGAAGCTAAAGCGCGCGTTAATAGAATATCCTGTCCTCAAAGTTGCAGATCCGTCTTTGCCATTTGTCGTCACCACGGACGCGAGTCAGTATGGTATAGGCGTCGTGCTGCAGCAAGACGACGACAATGGCTATAGACCCGTAGAGTTCATGTCTGCGAGGATGCCCTCAGAGAAGGTTGCTACCTCGACGTATGAGAGAGAACTCTACGCTCTCAGGCAGGCTTTAGAGCATTGGATGCATTATCTGCTTGGGAGGCACTTCAAAGTGTATTCTGACCATGAAACACTTAGATGGTTAAAGGCCCAGGCCAAGATGACACCTAAGCTAACTAGGTGGGCCGCTGAAATAGACCAGTACGACTTTGAGCTCAAGCCAGTGAAGGGCAAATATAACGTAGTTGCGGATGCTCTGAGTAGGAGATCAGACTACTTTGGAGCCATAGTCCACTATCTGGATATAGGGAGAGACCTGCATGAGAAAGTAAGGCATGCGTATGCGCAGGACCCTATCTATAGTGACCTCCTCAAGAGAGTTAAGGAGGCCCCAGAGATCGAACCACACTACCTACCGCATTACAGAAGGATTACTGTTTGAGAAGACAAATGTGTTCGACCGCCTATGCGTTCCCAATAGTGAGGAAGTCCGCAGTCTGATCCTGGGGGAATGCCACGACACAGAGGGACACTTTGGTTGGCAAAAGACATTTGGCAATCTCATGCGCGCGTACACCTGGCCAGGGATGAAGAATGACTGCATAGAATATGTTCCCAGTCGTAAAGTGTGCCAGAGAAATAAGACTACTACACGCGCGCCCCTAGGTCTTCTCAGACCGCTGCCTATTCCTGATCAGCCTGGAGACTCAATGTCCATAGACTTCATGGATACTCAGGTCAAGAGTAGGCATGGCAAGAGCCAAGTCATGGTCATAGTTGACCGTTTTAGCAAGTATGCTGTTTTTGTCTTTGCCTGCAGAGGCATGCACAAAATTAGTTATTCAGAAGTTTTTCGATCATTGGGTTAGTGAGAACGGAGTCCCATTATCGATAGTTTGTGATAGAGATAGTCGTTTCACCAGCCAGAACTGGCAGGAACTCATGAGAGTTTACGGATCAAAGTTGTTAATATCCTCTGGCTGTCATCCAGAGACCAACGGTCAGACAGAACAGATGAACAAGATCCTACAGCAAGTTCTGCGCATGTACATTAGACCAGATCAGATTAACTGGGATGAGATGTTGCCTAATGTAGCTAGTGCATACAACAACAGCGTGCATCTATCCACCTGCCGCACTCCCAATGAGCTGCACAAGTCCTTTAGACCACGCAGACCGTTCGAAGGACTGAACCGGGATCAAATTCACAGATTACCACCCGGTACCAGGGAGTTTGCAGTACAGCACGAAAAAGAACTAGCAACAGTTGTTGAAAACCTCAGGAAGGCCCAGCACAGAATGATAGAACAGGGCAATAAGCATCGTCGCCCATCGCAGTTTCAGGTAGGCGACTTAGTCTGGCTCAAGTCTAAAGAGTTTGCACCTGAGGAACACATCTCGCAGAAGTTGCTGCCTGCATCCAGAGGACCGTGGCCGGTTCTAGAAGTCAAGGGCGGAGAGGATGGACCGTCCTACACTATAGAGATCCCAACACACCTCCACACATACCCTGTGTTCCATGCTTCAAAGCTGTTGCTGTGTGTCACAAGTCGACAGTTCCCTTCAAGAAGATCCATGATCCCCCCGGATATGGATGGAAGTTATGACATTTACGGCATTGTAGATGAGGATGTGTTCAGAACAGGAGGTAGAGGTCGTCCCCAGAAACAGTATAAGGTCCGGTTTGCTTATCAGGAACCAGAAGACGACCGCTGGTTTACAAGGACAAAACTTCTAGAAACAGCTCCCGACATAGTCAGAGCTTATGAGCGTGATAAGAAGGGTAAAGGTCCTGCCTTGGACTGAAATATTCTCGGAGGACCTCGAATTTAGGACGGCGGGAGTGAAACGGTTTTCACCTCTTAGCAGTAGCAGACGCAGATCCCAGGGTTCGATCCCTAGACCTTGCCCTACCTGTGTACAGTACCTGTGTAGGCCCCGAGAGTTGAACCTGCGACCTGTGTATTTGTAACAGTTAGTAGTCTGTCGTAGGGTCCCATAGGAAGCAGGTATTCGATCTGTAGATCTATAGAGTAGGATTCTTAGCGAGTTCCAGAAGTCTAGCTGTAGACCTTCTAGAAGGTCAGCAAGTGGGCAAGTGGTCAAGTGGCGAGTCAAGTGGTGGCTAAACTGCAGTGCAATCGCAGTACGACTACGGTAGGTTGGCAGTGAGTCCACAGTCAGTCAGCGGTAAGGTCCAGTCAGTCCCAGTCCGGTCCAGCAAGTACCACGGGGGACTGTGAGCACCATGGGCCGATGGCAAAGGACAGACCAACGAGTTTCCGAAGTATAAATCAAGAGGCAGCGCCCAGCCTTTCATTCATTCCTGCGTGAGCCATGCGGAAGCGCTGCCACAGCGACTTGTGCAAGGAGGTCTGCAGTGAGCCCGGGGGACGCAGTGGGCAAGAGAGGAGGAGCTTAGTATAGCAATAGGGTAGAGGCAGCCATAGCTGCCATAGCTGTAGTTAGTGTGAAGTGTGTGTGTGTATGGGTGAGTGTTCAGAGCTACGCGTGTGGGATATCCAGGGTGATCCGGTGTGTGTGAACAGTGAGTTGTTTGGG